TTAATTTAGGCACTACTAACTATATATTAACTATATATATAGTTATATATAGTAGTAGCCCTAATTAGTAACTATATCTAGGCTAGTACTACTTAAGTTATAATTAAAGGATATAGTATTATAGAAATTACCTTAAAGGGCGCTAATAGCTTACTAATAAAGCTTTATATATATAACGTAATATATTATAGCGTATTTACTATATTACTTATTTCCTTTATAAGGCTATATTAGTAAGGTATATAGTAAGATATAAGCCTAGGTAATAATTACCTAAGGCGTATAGATTATAGCCTTATAGGCTATATTAAGGAATAAGGTAACTAATAAGTGCTTAAATATAATAAGTAATATAGTTACAGCTAAGAAAGTAAAGGCGCTTTTACTACACACTTTACTAATAATTTACTACTAACCCTATAAGTAAGAAATAAATATATAACGTTAACATAATAATAACTACTTTATAGTAATATAATAATATAGTATAAGTATCTTAGCTACCTAGGTGCTAAGGCTTTATAAAGGATTATAAATACTATATATAAAGTATATTTAACCTAAGTTAACGCTATAATAATATAAGACTATAATTTATATAGTCTTAGTAAAATAAGGCAGTAGATTTACTACTAGCCTTATAAATCTATTATAAATATAGCACTAGGTAATTACCTAGCGCTAGACTTTTATAATCTTAAATAAGGCTATATAGGATACTACTTAGTAATAATAATCTTAGATTAAGTAACAGGCCTTATATAAGATTTCTACCTATATAGCTACTACTAAGATACTATTAACTTAATAATAAAAGGCTTCCTTATAATACTAAAAACTAAATATTTAATTATACTAAAAGTTATTAAGGCTAACTAAGAAATCCTACGCCTTTAGTTACTTATAAATACGCTTTTTAATTATAAAATCTCTATTAAGCTATTAGTAGTGAATACCTAGGCTTAAAATAGTAGCGCTAAGTAAATTACTATAAATTATTAAACTTAAGGGCGTAATATATATAGATTATATAAAAATTACCTAAAGTTCTATAGCTTAAAATTAAAACTATTGGCTATATTACCTGTTATAATTAAGCACTATTTAGTAGGCTTAGAGGTGAAATCCTTATATAATTATTTTTACTTTGATTTTATACTTAATAAGGTACACTTAAGGCCTTTACTTATAGTGAAGCGTAGAATCCTTTTATGTACTATAAAGGC